CCCCGGCCTGTATTAGAGACCGGCCATTATTTACCTCCTCTGACAGCGAGACCGGCCATTATTAGAGACCCGGCCGCTATTGGAATACAGGCCAATATTAGAGAATTTACGGTATATATATATATATATATATATATATTTATTTATTTATATTTATCTATTTTCATTTTTTTTGTGTAGAATGTTGTGTATATATACAAATATGCTGTTTGTATACCTGGAGTGTGTAATGAAGATAATTTCCCCCTGGGATCATTAAAGTATTTCTGATTCTGATCTGATCAAGTTTTTTTAATTCTCAGCTTTACAATTTAGAAAAGCGTTTAGGGAAGTGATCCCCAGTTTTTATAAGCCAACTTTTGAATCGGCAATTTCAGCGCAACTGATCCCAAGAACGGCACAGATTCAGCTTCCAAAGAGGAAGTACCAAAAGCTGCTGACAAAGAAGATCTCCTTTCAAAGAAGACTGGTTTTGTGTTTTCGTCTCATCAGCTTTGTTCTCATTTATCAACCAGTACTAGCCTATCAGTAATAGTCTTAGATTACAAAAGTTAATGTCTTTGTTTACCAATAGCAAGGAGGGCATGCTGTAGCTCCAGGGTGAAGGCAGTCAAAGGCACCTCTTCTGATACAGGAAGAACTGTAACAGTTGAGAGGTTGGAGGCTTGATTCCCTGCATCCAATTTGCTTCCTGGAGTGTGAAGTGCCAAGCTACGAGCTGAAGACAGAATCATAAGCAAGTCAACTAAGAGTGTTACATAATAGTAGAAGCACTGACACAACTCAACTAAATCTAAACACAGAAAGCAACCAGCATGTCTACTGGTAGAACAATAAGAAAGCAAGATTATTGACCAATCACACACCTGAAAGAGGAACATTGACCTGCTGAAGAATCTTCTGACCAAGCAAATGGATCAACCTGGTGACAACCTACAAGATTTGAATGTTAGTTTAGACTGTAGAAAAGTCTGGAGTCAGCGTGTGGACAAGCCCAGAAAAATCCCCATCATCAGAAGTAGCTAACCCTGAGAAAAACTCATCTTTCCATACATCTAGATATTTCTCTCCAGGAATATTCTTTATTTTTATTTTAAACAAAAGTTGAACTTTAACTACAGTTTAGATCCAGAGTACCTGAGGGAACCTCCTCTTGATGGAGTTGAGCGCCCCCTCTGGTAACTTGGCGAGTTCTGAATCTCGAACAGCGTGAACAGTTGTGGCTCTGTTCTGGTGGGTCAAGGCCTCCACCTGCAGAGACATTTGTTGCTCGTTAAATCAGCTACACTGATAACAAAAAAAAACAACAACTGTAGTGCGTCATGTATAACAAAATGTATCAGTTGTCATTTCAGTATCAGTATAGGAAATACTGCAATCACAAGCGGCAATAATATTTTAAGCATCATCGATACATGCATATATACTGATTTACATACATTTGGAAAATATGATGAAATCTAAACCTCCTGAATCCCCATATCTGGTGTAAATGTTTGATGACTGAGATGTTAAAAAAATCTCCTAATGGGGAAACTAAGTAATGGCAAATGAAAAGAAGAGTGTGTATAATGTGGGTCAATGAAGATAGTCATAATTATTAGCATAAGTATTGTGGTTTCCTGATTCCACATAGGCCCAAAAAAAAGTGAGTACTCTATTACAGATCGTTCCAGCAAATCATAGATTGTCATCAATTCTTAAAACCAGAAGTTATCCAGCTATATGACATTTTAGTCTTATGATAATCATCTCCTTATAGCACTCGTATAATCAAGGTATATTAAAAGAAATAAGAGATTAAATCCGGTTCTAAATGTTACAGCCATTAAAAAGGTGCCACATCTAAGATACTTCAATTGTTAAAAACATCTTAGCTCAAAGACTCAACATAAAGGCCTTAATCTATTCCAACATTTTATTAAGAAAAAGGAACTGTGAGTAAAGGCATGTCTGTCAAATAAAGAGTTTGTTTTATGATTTATTTAGATGCATTTTAGGGCTTGCAGAACACCTTAGCCAATAACTGGAGCACGCTGAATCTCACAGGCTACCTTGCTTGAAGATAAGCACAGAAAAAAAGGTCTGTATTTAGGTCAAACCAGCAATGCTTGCAGTCAACATATTTTTTCCACGTTTGTTCATTGCAACGACAATTATCTTAAAATAATAATTTTATCTACACAGAAGTGTCATTGCTAGAAAATGTATTATGTGCTTAAGTTCTCAGGTTGGCAAGTATTTACACCTTTTTATCATATGTAAAGGAGGCTTGGATCAAAGCAAACTGTCAAAAAAAAGGTCATTTAGACCACAGGGATTTATATTTTGTGATCAAACAACATCTTAACATCTTTGTTAAGATATAAATGAGTTAGAGCTTTAAACATCTTTTGACTGTTGTTGAAATATCACAAAGTGAAATAAAAAAAAGGTGAAAATGAAGCTATAAAAGTTGCTGCTTTAGTTTCATCAAGAAAAACTGACGTCGACACAGTGAGGCTAAGTATGTCTTCTAGTGTTAGACACATTCATAGCGTCCTTATTTTCACTATCACAACAGCTGCAATCACAGCTAACCTCCTTCAAGCAGCAGTAACCATAGCATCTGTCAGCTCAGGTATTATTAGAAGCTCTGTGGCTGTGCCCGTCAGCAGCAAGTGGGAGGAAAGGTAAAGGTAACCAAGGAGTTTAACTTGAGAAAAGTAGTCCAGGTGTCACTCTTTAAATAGTATTGGTATTAATGCTTTAGCTATAATTGTTAAGCTTAACATGTAAAAAGCTGGTGAGAAATTAAAAAAAAACGGATTTCTATAATGATAGAGCTTTTTCATTGATTACTGAAAAAAGATCTACATATTTTTTCGACATATCATTTTTTAAAATAACATAAATAAATGAAGAAGAAAATATTTTAAATGATACTTTAACCTTTGATACCCACCATATTAAAAAAAAAGAATCCACTTGTATACATAAATATTCTAAAACCTCTCCTTTCAAATTTGTTGACATCTGTCATTAAAGAAAAATTGAAAATTAAATGTAAAGTGCTTCACATGTTACCCACATTTACCCAACTGCACACATATATACCCACTAATATGCAAAACTGAAACTAAAATAGAAAATCTTGGCCTGAGTGCCTTGCCTAGGGGCATATAAGCACATGACAGGAGGAAGCTGGAATTGATCCCACAATCTTGTCCTCGAAGACGTTTGAAATTCCCACATTAAAATATTAACTATTTTACAAACCCCTCCTAACAAAAAATCAATTCTCAGTCTTTTTCAACAGCCTTTTACAAGGTTGGAGGGTAAAGAGAGAGAGCAATGTTTAAACATTTCTTTTAAGAACAGTTTCAGGCAGATACTGGTTTGTTTTTTTAAACAACCTCTGCAGAAGGTCTGACCTTTAACAAGGTTCCTGTGGCCTTTGGAAGGGAAACCAGACGATGGCATTGAGGATTCTTCAACATACTTCAAAATGAGCATAAATTAAAGGCTTATGAAAATCTATATATTTGTTAATGAAATGCGGTTTAGCCAAAATAACCCCTGATCAAAGCGCACAGTTTCAGTACATGGGTATATTTGTAAAAAGTGTCTTTGATCGATTACGGAGACGTAGAGACCCTAAAATACTTATTTTTGCTCTAGCTGCTGCACTATGTAAACTTGTTAACCTCTTTGTTATTGTGCATGGTGGAAAATCTGAATGTTTTTATTTGATATTAAGAAGAACAATGCTAAGCTTTTACCCAGATTTACCACATAAAGGTCACTCTGCCTCATCTCTTACCACACCAATCAGGTCTCCCCGGCCATACTCTCCTATCAGCTCCTTTTTGCCATCCTCTTTCAAGATCACAGAACGCAGTCGACCACTCAGCACTATAAATGTGCTGTCTGATTTTTCGCCCTGCCTAGAAAATTAAACAAAAGGACATTCATTTTGTGCAATTAAAGACAATTTAGTTTAATTAGCTTAATTTGTTAACTTGTATTTTCAACTCTGCTCACTAAAGTAGGCAATGTTTCCACAAACGAAACAAATTTGAGCCTGAATACCTGTAAACGGCCCTGCCAGCCTCCACAGCCATCCAATCAAGTGCAAAGTCTATCTGTCTGATGAAAGATGACATCCGCCTGGAAACGGTGTGAGCCACGTTCAGGACTACGTTTGGTTCCACGCGCATTATTCTGAAGAATTAAAGGAAGAAATGGACGAGAAAATGAAAGCATGTTCTAAACATTTAAATAAAACAAACTAGGAATAGCTTCAGTTTAACATTGCAAACAACATGTCGCTCACTCATAGAAGTGGGTTTTGGAAATGGAGAGAAAGCTGCAGTCTCGCTGGGCTCGAACTGTAAATATGAGCGGCTCTCCAGTCAAGACAGCGAGCTGACCAACCAGCTCTCCAGGATGCGTCACAAACAGACGTGTATCTTCCTCACGGTCGATCATTCGCTGATAAACATGGAGCAGGCCGGAAATCACAAACTGAATGCTCACTTCCTAGAAAACACAGACAAGAAAAAGGAAAAGATTAAACAGTTTGATTATCTATGGTTAGATAATCAAATTTTCATACTGAGCAGTTTAATGAAAGCGTTCCCCAAAAAAACTTTTAGCAACTTAATGCAGGCATCAACTGTTGGTTGATTTCAGCACTTTAATCAGAAAAGCCAGGTTTCATGAACATTTTACATGACTAATCGGCTGCACAAGTCTATAAGTAAGTCAAGTATTCAAATTCAGCAGTTTAACAATAATCTTTTATAAAATATAAGTATATGAATATATGAGTATATTCTATATACTTGATTGTTTTGGGGGCTTTTTTAGAGAGAGTGTTGCAACAGTGCTTCTTGGAACTATATCTCATATTGTTGTAAATTCTATTTATTCACTTAAAATGATGCCAAACCTGTAGGAAAAAATGCATCTGGGGTTAGACCAGAAAAGTAGAGTACATTTTCTTGAGCACTGGGAAAAAATAAATCCCAAATTCTCTCTACTAATAAAAAACAAAAAACAAAAACGTATTCTGCTACTGACTTTATTTCGTGGGGATTGGTTGGATGATTAAAATTTGAGCAATAGCACCCTGACATCCCCTCCTCATGCTGATTTCTAGCCTAAGACTATAAAACAACATTAACTAATAGTCTTTAGAAATATTTGTGGACTGGTAAAGGAGAGGATTTTCCACGTTTTTCGTGGATAATTTCAAAATCTTAGCATGTATCGCTCAGAAGCATAGCTACAAAACAGAAATAATCAACAAGGCAAAAATGTTCCCTACTTTCTGAGGCGAATATGACGAACAAAAAACAAAAACAGCAAAACTAAAGGCATCAGCTGAGATTTAAAAATGAGAGTAGAAAACGATAACGGCACATGAAAGATGTTAAAACAAAGCTCTGTGATTTAAGGTTTTTTTCCTCTAACCTGGTCTCCCTGACGAGCCACAACAGAACCAGCCTTCACATGGTGAAGGGTCACTCTGCCATCAAGTAAACTGGGGTCCTACAAAAGAAACAGAGGATTTCTTCCTTAAAAGCTCATTAAAACCTGTAGGAATGTTTTTCATGGAAATACAAAACAGTGTGTGTTGTTTTATTTTTTAACAAAGCCACAGTTAGGACATAAAAAAAAGAAAAGCAAAGAGTGTAATATTAACTCATAAATTCCATATTTAAACAAAAATATATGCAAAAATTCTGAAAAAGTACATGTCAAGTTCAGTCATTTTGATGGGCTTTGCTCTTTTATTTTGCACACCATGAGTATTAATGTTTGTCTGTAATTAAGGAGCAGCCACAATCAAAGAATGTTTCACTTGGAGTCTGTCTTGGGTGCAGTTAAATGAGCGGGCTTTAAAGCACTGACTCAAGCTGCAGCCGATACCTTGTACATCTCCCTCAAAAATGTAAAAAATTAAACGTCAATCCTTTCACTTTGAACAGTTCTTCTACCATGTTTTTCCTTTCATTCAACTTTCCAGTTATTAGCCAGCTTCAGCAGTGAAAACCGTTGACTTTTACAGATTCAAAGTCCATGGTGGTCTGCTGACCAGTCAGTCTTCCTTGATATTATATAGACCATAACTACAATCTCTGTGACTAAATCCTTTTAAATCTTTTTTCTTTATTCCTTATTAGAATTAACCTCATTTTCGCTACTCTTCTAACTGAATTAAATACATTTGCATTGAAACAGTTACCTGCAGCTGGATAACTCCCAGCAAGTCCTTTTTAGCAGCTTGAAGGACAATGCTGCTCCTACCAATGTTGATGGCATCAGACTGCCCTCCGCTGTCAGTATAATGAAACACTTCAGATGGTGTTTGCTGCATAGTTACATTCTTTCTCAGAGTAGACTATAAAACAGACACAAGAAAGGTGTTTATGTCAGATGATGTCCTGTAGCGCTGCACGAAGCAGCAGCTTTATGATGAAAAGCTTTTCAAGTCAGAGATACATTAGAAGAGATGAGAACCAGATGGGGTAATTCTTACTTTCTGAGCGAGAGGACTGGATGATACCTCCTCTATGGTGACACGAGCACGTTCACAAGCCATATTAAGGTCAATTCCTGCTATGCAACATATAAAGAATTCAATTTACAAGCATGAAATATTATAAAAGGATGAAAGATAAGATATACACTAATATAGCGACCCACCAGTACAATCGGTGGGTGCAGAAACGGACCGCAGCCTCCTGCTGTTGTTCAGGGGGCTGTCCTTAAGGGCTTCTGTTCAAAAGAAAACGAGGAAGGAAAAAAAAAAGGATGAAAAAAGAAAAGATTTATCCCAAATGTGTGCATGTTTGAAGGCATTTTATTAAAGATTGTTCTACCTGGTTCTGAAGTAGTCTCAACAGTCCCTGTTGGAAGCTCCTCTTGGAAGTGGAGACGACGTGGCATTTTTCCAGAATTTACCTCCACCATAACACTGCTTATATTGGACAATGGAACAGCCTGACTCTCCTGCCAAAGATAAGTTTTAAAAATGTAAACCAGGTGGATAAACCTATGATTTAACAAAACTGATCTTAAAAAAAACACAAAAAAAAACAGGATTTTTTCTTTTTTAGAATTTCTTTTTTGTTGTAAAAGTTTCTCAAACATTTCTATTCACATTGCCTTGATGAGAAAGGATAACCAAACTGAGATGTTGTGTTTAAGGATCTATATAAGTAGCTTTCTTTTGAATGATCATGTGTGCAAATGTTTGTTTGTTTGTTGGTTGGAATATGATCAAAGCCAAGGCTTTGGTATTCAGTGTAAACCTCTCAGCATGACTGTGTAAACACACAAATATTCATGCACCAATTAATTTCCTTCCTACCGGATTGAAGAGCTCAGTTGTTAGACCCAGATAGTTATGCAACGCTAGAAAGGTCACCCTCTGGAGTCGCACCATAATTATCTGCAAATCCAACAAAGTTAAGAAAGGGTAAAAAAAGAGCCAGAAATGTTTTATACAGACTTATAATTACATCTAATTTGTGATGTCTATTTACATTAAATTCACTGTTAGACGTTCTGTACCTGAATGACCCGCACCAGTGTCTCAGGATACTTCTTAAAAACTGACTCAAAGGCGGAAGCAGGCAAGCGTAAGATGGTGGAGCGAGTTGCAGCTCTTACTGATACAGTTTTATATGGAGCTGGATATCCCTGAAAATAAGAAAATAGATTTAACTAAAAAAAACAGCAAACTAGCAGAAGTAACAGTTACATTGAATTATGTTGTATATTTAAGGTTTCTTTAAAGTCTCAAATTCACTGTTAGTATTATTTCTTATTATCCACATGCATCTGCCTTTATTTGCAGACAATGTTGTTGTTATATACTTTCATGTCACTCTGAGGGTCTGTTAAGGGATTTCTCTATTGCAGTGGTTCTCATCCTTTTTTGACTTTTGGACCCCTTTGAGCATTTTGTCTTGTCTGACCATGAGTACCCCCTCAGTCAAATGTATTGATAACTGTGCAAAAGTGGAATGTAAAATAACAGATTATAAAATAAAAGTATTTTATTTAATCTTTATAATTCAAATATTTTACTATTTGGCGTGTTATTCTTCCAACTCAAAAAAACAAAAACAAAACATAAATATGTTGCCCAGGAACTATTGAGTAATCAAAATAAATCCAATCTGCCTTTATAAGGCTGGAGCTTCTCAGATTAACTCCCTTATAATCACATTTAAACTTGAGGAATTGAGAACAAAATACTAAACAAAATTTATAGTCAGACTCTCCATTTGTTTTACATTGTTTTCATCATTAATGACACCTGAGCTTGTTTTGGTGAGCTCAGATGTGGAAAAACAGATGAAACCAGTCTGTTCTTCTGCTTGGTTTGGTGTCAAAGCTGAAGGTGAACTCAAACATAAAAGAAAAACTTACTTTTTGGTTGATAAAAGCTTGTTTTATCTTTTAGTTGGGTCCTCACAAAGCAAAACAGACAGCCCTATTTTACTTTATTACTTGAGAAATAAAATATTTTCATGTACCTCTGGCAACGCACTGGTGGACCACTAGGGGTACGAGTACCCTCTGTTGGGAATCACTGCTTTATTGCACTCTGTTAATTTACATGTTTAATGATAACCTTGAACTCTTTATTTAAAGAACTGCATAAAAATACCTAGGGACCTCGTAGTATATGTAATAATTGTCTGTCATTTGTAAGGTATACATTCTCCGTGCAAATATTTTACTATACTCTGAGGTCCTGCTATAATACTAGTCCAAAAGGAAAAAGCATCTATGTCATTTGGGTCCATTTTGGGGTTTAGATAGTCTTCAGCCAAACAAAAAGACTAGGGAGCAGCATTACAGAGGTAAATGGTGGATAGGATGGCTAGGTCTAATAAAACAAAGCAAATGTGGGACATTAGAATGCTTATGGGGGACAGTGAGGGACACCTTTTTCCAGCTGTGAATTTCTTGAGCGGTTGACTTATACACATTTCGTTACATCTTGTGCCCCAAATTATGAAACTGAAAATTACTTCAGGAAATGTCCCAAACAGCTTTCAGAGAATCACCTTTCACTGGCCTCACCCAGTTATAAATATTCAATAGTCTTTGCTGTGGCTGCATTTTTTTTTCTTTAAACATAATCATTTTCATCAATAATTAACCTGTTCTTTTTTATTTTAACAGCTTTGTGTGCAGGTTGGTCAAGATGTGGAGCAAACTTTGTATTTTGATTGACAGCAGGCACACTTCTGTGCCAATAACTGCAGTGCTGCTGTTAATAAGCAAGAAAAATGCTTGTTGAATATATTTTTACACCCTTTTTGCATTTTAATATTCAACCTAGTCCCATGGGGAAAACTGTTTCAATTTATGGGGCCTTAGGATACAACTGAAAAATGCACACAGTCCTGCTCAAATCAGATCATCTGGTCACAGGTGGATCCCATCATTGCTCTGTAATGTAAGAATAATTTTCTTCTGTTTCTAGCCTTCTGTTTTACAGCAGGCGATCGCTGGCAGCAGCACACATCACTGAACAGATGTTAAGGTGTGAACATCATATCCATTACCAGGAGATGTTTTTAGATTTCAGGGAGTCACAGAAACAAGTCAGGCAGCCATAAAGGCACCACAAGGCCCTCTGATGACCATCAACAGGCAATGCAAGTGAATTGTTTTGCCCAAAGACACAAAGACTGACAGACAAAACTGGGGTTTGAACCAGCAACCCTCTAGTTGAAGGACGAACTCCTGAATCCTACGCTCCCATTATGCCATAGCCTTCTGTACGCTGACACCTCTAAAAAAAGTATAACTTGATGTCAGCTACCTAGATATGTGTTTTTTATTCTCAGTATAAATACCTACAACTCAATAAAAGTAATATTAAGACTTGCACAGGTCAATCAGCAAAGTAATCTGACGATTTTTACAGGACCAGCCACAACCGGTAACTGGCCCATCATCATCAAGGCCAACAATTTTTAGTGGCGAACATTGTCCTGTTGATTAGTTTTTCTCTGAGAGGATACTAATATTTCCCCTGCACTTGGTCCATGTTTACTTTAGTCAGAGTGCCCAAAACAGGGGGACTAACCATCCGACAACAGAGGCAAGGGATGGCAAAAGCTCAGACAGAAGCAGTGGGGGAAAAAAACACAGAGAGGGCACCATAACCGCAACGAGGTCTAAGTTGTGCTCCCCTATGAGGCTGAGAAACCACAGCAGTAGATTGGAGGAGACTGCTGTGCAGACAGCGCGCCAGGGCGGGGAGACAATGCAGCTCAAGGGGATAGCGGAGGAGCACAGTGGTAGATAAGGGAAGCCCGACGGGGAAACAACGCCAGGCAAGGGCGAGGCTACAGCTGACCAAGGCTAGCTAGGCTAACTGCGGAGCGTTGAAGGAGCACGGCAAAAGATAGAATAAGAATAAGTCCAAGGGGAAAGAACGCTGTAGGTAGGACACAAAATAGTCCTTCTAATGCTAAATTAAAACGTTTTTTTAATAAGCCACCGACAAACCTCTTAAGAACATATTCCACTTCATCATTTGTCAACATTATTTTCTCCATCTTGATTTTAAAAAAGCTCATCTCCGCTGTCTCTTTCACTAAAACTGTGGTCTGTTCATGTTCTTATTTCCTCTAATTGTCATACCCAATAGCACAATGTTAATTTACATGAGGAGGTGATTTGAGAAACTTAAAAAAAAACAAAAAAACTTCAGACTGGGAGAAAGGTTAACCTAATAGCAGAGCTGCAAAGTAAGCAAATATCTAGATCAGAATTCAGTAAAAAATCTTCGGCAAGATTTGGAAACTGACTTTCACTTTAGTCCTCATCCCAATTATACAACTTTTGCAAGGAAGAATGGCCAAAATTCATCTGTCTCAAAATGATTCTCACAGCATGAATAATTTATCTTCCTCTACGATTATTCACAGCATACAGTTTGTGTATCAAAAATTTTTTACACCAAACAGACTGAAGTTTTCAGTTGAAACAAGGCAAAATGCAGAAAAATTCAAGAAGGATGTCTACTTTGCCAAGAATCGTGCATATCTAGTTGGGATAGATAATTAAAATAATTCTGAATTTGCAACATGCAAGATATTGTCTAATTTGTTTTATTCTAAGCCTTGTTCTTTCGACACTTTATTTCACCCCCCTTGCATGTGCTTTATGGTCTCTAATCACCTTTAAAAGTTTAATATTGAATACAGAATCTCGCACTTAAATAAAAACATGTTCCTTTCAAGAAACTCCTCATGAGGAGGGAAGTAAAACTGCTCCATCTTATAATTATACATTTATTTCTTCTCTCAATATAGCATCAGTGATCTATTTGACCTGAGAAAGTACAAATGAGGACAGAATAAAGTCCGATGTAAGATGAGAGATCAGTTAAAAGCTCACAGTGATGATGTCCAGAATGCTGAGCAGGCTGTGGACACTGTCTCCAGGGTGGACATCCTTCACCACTGGCTCAGTGCCATCCTTAAAAAAAAAAAGCATAAACGCAGAGTATCTATTCAATATTCACTTGAATGTGCCAGTACAATCATTTTAAACTGCATTTTAAAATATCCTAGGATCTATATTTAAACGCAACTTCAGCGCCCTCTGCTGTTCAATGTTGACGACAGTTCTCAGTCATTTATAAGTCAATGTTTAAACACAAGTTGCCAGCTTACGATACCAATTGATATAAGAAAGCAAATTGTTGTACTTTACTACTAAAAACTGACTTGTAAAAAAAGATAACTTAATCAAAAAGGAGAATTGTGCTTGCTGGTCACATACATTCTCTTGAACGCAGAGCTCAAGTCGACCGTCCTGGACCACGTATATACTGTCATCATCGTCTCCTGGTCTGAAAAGTACCTCCCCCTCTTGCAGCTCAACAAACACCATATGACGACACAATTCCAGGAACAGAGGCTTCTCAAAATGACCCAAGACTCTACAAGAAGTTTGAGAACACAATAATTGTAGTATCATCCATGAGGGAGACTACAGTCCATGATACAAATATATAGAAATGCTGTTTACCTAACATTTTTTAGCATGTAGAGGACCTCTGAGGGAAGGTTGGAGCTCTGCACATCAAATTCTGTTAGATCTGCCTCCAGCAAAGATGGAGGAGGTTCCTTATGCTGCAGAGTTGGAGGGTCTTTACGAATCCTCAGGATTCTGTTAGAACAAACATATAAAAGTCCTACTTACAAGAAACACCTAAGAATCATTCTCTTAATTTAAGATATCCAAATACTGCAAACCTGCGAGCTATGCTCAGAACTTTGGTTCGTTTGCGTATGCGCTGTGGTGTTTTTGACACTGAGGAAGAGGGAGGAGTAGAGGACAACGTTTGAACCTAGGAAAGAGATGGAAGAGAGCACAATCAAGTTTGTTGTTCTTAGGGCCTTACACAAACTTCCTGAAGACTAAATCAAAGTAGAGATGGAATTTCCATAACCTTTTGTCTTCCATTTCGACTGATTTTAGACTTTTACTATATTTTTACGTGTTATGCAACATCTAGACTCTAAATGTACTGTAATTTTATGTGACAAACATGCACAAGTGCTTTATTGTGAATTAAAATGAAAATAAAAATAAAAACAAAGGATCAGTCAGATTGGTTAGTCTTTAAAAATCTGTTTTACAGATTGTGTACCATTGTTTCATTTATATTAATGTTTAGACCATGGAAGAGTCATCCTGGCTCATAGATGTAGACTAAACCATTTCATTGTAGTTGTAGGGTTAGGGGTACTGTCCAGCTGAATAGTAAAACCTTGCTGTCCTGAGTTTTTTTAAAGACTTAAATGATTTTCTGTCAGGCCTGCAGTTAGCTAAAACTTACTAAACAACTATCAGCAGTTATTCTCTTTTAAAAAGAGCATCACAAACCATGATGCAGACACCTTAATGCTTTATAATAAGGATATATACTGTGTTTTCACAAGCAGTACAAGTGCTGTATCTCACTTTTCCTGCAAAAACATAGAGCTTTCTTAAACAAAGGCTTTCTCCATGCTGCGCTTTCAATTAGAGCCATAGTTGTGGAGTGGCTGAGTAAGAAGTTATTCACCCCGCGATTTAGGCACTGCCTAAATGCTTCTCTGATTAATACAATCCTTGCCCACCCTCTCAATTGGGTGGACAGCCATGCCTTAGAAGTTTAAAGTCTTGCCTTTTATTTCTAAGAGGTAGTGCATGAGTTCTTTAAGCTTTGGATACTTTCTATAGCTTAAAACTCTCTATAATTATGTATTTGGGCTGATTGTAGGACTACCTGTGTAGAAGGGGTTGAAAACAATTTATGGTGAGTTACTTAAGAATACAAAAACTTGATGATGAAGGCATTACAAGACAAAAGTAAACACAACAAATCTAATAATCTAAATCTGTTTTCGGACATGAAGAAAAATGATATAGAAAAAAAAAAAGAAAACCTTTCGCATTATCTTCCTTCCATAAAAAAGCACTTTATCTCGCTTTCGAAATCGATAGTGGGGCACACCCGGCTGCTGTTCACCTTAGACAGAGAATCAAAATGCAAAATTCAGATACATTTATTATTGCTTTAGTGGATTAATATAGGAAAACATGTGTATAAGAAAAATATAAAATTTGGAGACTAAATCTAGAGACTTACGAGCAAGTTTAAATTTTCTGTAAAAGAAGAGCACCACAATTCCAATGAGTGAGACTGCAACTATTGCCCCAATCAGTACACCTGTAAGCTGAACAGACACAAGTCAATCTTGAGGCCTTAAACAATTAGATTTTTGCCACTAAAAACATGAAAACTGCTTGAATCCCAGCAATAACATAAAGAAGGGTTCTGCACAAAATATTGGAAATAGAAACCAAACTGCCATTAGCTGTGTGTTCAATAAATTAACATTTAGGAATTAATACCATCGTGGTTTGCATCCTCTCTTCCACAAACTGTTGCACTCGTGCCTTCAGAGCACTCCTGCTGCTCGCCATCTAAAAAAAAGTGTATACATACAGGCATAAAGATGCTAAACTGATGAGACTCCAGTGTCTGTTCTGTCATGTATCTGTCCTGTATGCATACCAAGCTGGACCGTTGACAGGTCTCTCTATCGTCTCCAGCACAATACATCCTGTGCAACAAGAAAATATGTGAAGGATTAGCCGCAGAACTAATTTGGAAAGCTGTCTGCTGAAAGTGTGGATATCAGCGTTTTAACAGAAGAAGTCCCACGTCGGGGAAATTTCTGTATCCTGGAAGAAGAGGAAAAGAAAATTAAAAAAAGGAACCTGGGTCTGTATGTTAATGGCATTCAGTAGCAACGAGCTTAGTTAAACAGCCAAATGATAACGAGTAAATAGCTAACTAAATCCACCGGCAACTTACGCTTAATTGACGTAGTTAGAAAATATATATATTTAGCTCGGGTTATGATTAGCCACTGAATTATTAGCTAGCAAAGGGTTATCGTCTAGCTAGTTGAAAAAAACAACCTAATACAACACTTAATTTAGCCATAACAGTTTACGAGTAAAACAATAACAAGAATGCTCACTGGTCGTGGATATCCGAGGTGCCGCTTCGCATTATTTACATCGCTGAAAAAGGCTAATTTGTGAGCAATACGCTGACAAAGTTTTCTTTATGCTGTCAACTGCTTTGCCCCGCCCCTATGTGCCGTTGCCTTGGTTTCGCGTATGGCAGGCACCAATCAGAACGAGGACAAACCGGCCCCCTAAACACTAACACTAACCCTAGGCACTAACCCTTCGTTCGCGCGTTCACGTGGAGGGACCACCATATTAAGCTATGACATTAGGACCGTCCAAAACCACCGAGTGGGTAGGATGAGTGGACCGTTCAGCCCTTAAATAGCAAGTCTGCATCAGTGCAGGCTCGCTGGTTTTGGCAGCGGGTGTAACTGCGAATTAGTGGCGGAGGAAACACAAGCAAACAAATATAGGTTCCGCTGGTTTGCTGCAGCTTCCTCACACCGACAGAAAATCCCAAGTTAGGAAAAAGAAAAAAAAGCTTTAAATAAACCCCTAAGTGAAGGTCTACGAATATAATAAATGCTTCTCCGTTCTTGTCTTCTAAATCATTTGATGCATCTGTTTAAATCTGAACATATTTGATAACTATAAATATAATTTTGTATATACCTGTGTAAACCCTCAGTCATCCGGGTCACAACCACAAACAAGCTTAAATAGGAGGGCAGTCAGACTTTCGCTTAGTTATTGAAGACTTTTCAACACCTTACCAAGAGTAATTTCTGCATTTCATTTCAGCACTATTTCACAACACGTCATCTCAAGGCACTTAATAGAGACAATTCAACCAGATCAGTCAAATTGGTTCAAAGTTTTCTATCTAAGGAAAATCAGCCGATTGCATCGACTCATTTACTCGACAGCAATCCCTCAAACCAAGCATGCTTGTAGGGACAGTGGAGAAGAAAACTCCCTTTTAACAGGAAGAAACCTCCAGCAGAACCAAGTTCAGTGTGAGCGGCCGTCTGCCAAGGCCGACTGGGGCTCATGGAGACAGAAGCAGAGATACAAAAGTTAACTTTCGACCAGCTCCTTAGGTGGCCCCATCCAGGAAAGACAGCCAGGCAGACGAGCTCTGCGCCAGCTACCATGTCAGAAGATGAAATAAAGAACATAAATTTAATCATAGCAAGAGAAACCGTGGTGGAGAAACAATGGTGTAGATGGAAGCAGCAAAGCTGATACTTCTCTCTGGGATTATGTCACAGCCAAATAGGACCAGATGAAGCTACTATGATGAGACAAAGCAGAGCGAGAATGACAGTAGAGATTGAACTAACAAATTCTGCAAAGTGGGGGGAATAGAGATAGAATGAAGCAGAATGATGAAAATGGGTCCTTATATCCTCCAGCAGTCTAAGCTTATAGCAATATAACTAAACAGATAGTTCAGGATAACCTAAGGCACTCTATCTATAAGCTTTATCAAAAAGGAAACTGTCAAGCCCACCCTTAAAAGCAGACAGGGTGACTGCCTCTCGGACTAAAAAAGTTAGTTTGTTCCATAGGAAAGGAGCCTGATAACTAAAAGATCTGCCTCCCATTCTTCTTTTAGAAATTCTTGGAACCACTAGTAAACCTGCCGATTGAAAGTTAACTGCTCTGTTAGGAACATAAGGAATATTCAGATCTCTGATATAAGATGGAGCTTGGCCATATGTGAGAAGGAGGATTTTAAATTCTATTCTGGATTCAACAGGAAGGCAATGAAAGAAGCTAGTATAGGATAGATACAACCTGTTTTTTTTTTATTTAAGCTTCAGGGATGTGGTTGTATTATGAAAAATGAATTTGTGGACTAATAACCAGTTGATGTGCTCCTATTTCTGCAGCTCTCTGGTATCCATTCAAAGCTTTATTTTTTTTTCTCTCCTTCACCCAGCATGGTTTTAGAGTGATTTGTGTTGGATGACATTGATTATGACCCCAGTGACCTGCCCAGTAGAAACAGTTGTAATCTTCTTAGACTCAATGGCATTTCACCCATTTCTACTTGTAAAGCTGCCACAGTAGTTGTCCTAAAAGCTCATATACAAAGTCTCAAATCTAAGTTTTGAAGAACCGTTTCTGCTGCTGATGCAAATACCAACACCCATATTCTAGAACTGACCTTATTAATTATATATGAATTGCCCTTAAAGTAGCTTTATCTGCACCTCATCTAGTCCCTACTAAACATCCCATTATATTTAGAACTTTTTTTATATTTTTTGAGACTCTTTAAATATGTACCTTTCATGTAAAATTTTCATCCAACCACATTCCCAATATTTAAAGCTTTTCACTTTCTCCAATTCCTGATTAAAAAAAAAGTGGATTTTTTTCACACTCTCCTTTTGTTTTTCTCTGCGCTGTTGTTGTTGTGTTTTTTCTCACGAGACACATGGTCAGCTCTGCTCCTTTCTTGTTACTACTCATCTGATCCACCTGCAGCTATCAGTATATAACCAGCCTTCAGACCAAACATCAGCGACAGATTATTTCGAGGCACTGGAGAGATCTATTCCAGCATTCTGATTCCTGACCTCCTGCATGTTTGACTGACCAGATCTGTCCCTGTTTCTGAGCCTGTCTGATCCCTTTCTTATCTGACTGCCTGCCTGTTCTGCCTGACCCTGATCTGTTTGTCTGCCTGCCCGTTTCCTAACCTGGAACTCTTACCTCAAGCTGATCCTGGATTCCCTCCAGTGCATCATTGGGCTTCTGATCACCTGGCTCTGACCCTGGACTTCGCCCCAGGCTACGGATTCTGGTTTGTCCTGCTGTTCCTCCTGGCTACTGTTGTTTTCATGGTTATGACCGTCTGCCTAACCAGGGCTCATCGTAACTCAGCCGGAGTTCTCTGGGACTTCATGACCAGTGACAGCAACATCAGCGCTAATGTTAACCGGCTCAAACCTAACCATGTGGTTCTTCCCAGACTGAGTACTAAGAGAAGACATTCCTGCCATAGTTTCTGACACCACCTGCAGCATTTTAATTTTAATAAAATGTGTTAAGCTTTCACACTGGTTGTGTAAAAGTAAAACTGGATATTCTTACTGTTTTTTAATCCCATTCATCTTTTAAATCATTCCCCAGACTGTTTTTAATATCTTTTTCCCTTTCAACTGCATTATGCTTCATTTGCTACAGATTTTCATAAAAAATATCCAGAGTCTGGGAACCTTAGAATTTGATCGGATGACTCTTCTTACAATTCTTCCCCAGAAACTAAAACAAAGTTTCTGCCAAATCAGTGCCTGTGTAATTTCTCTGGAAATAAACAAATCTGAGCAGATGTATAAATTAGCTTGCAGTGAGAGGAGAGGGAATACTATTATGACATTATATGCTGATGAAGAGTTAGTAAAGAGCGACTTTCTATAATTTCTATTACTCTACTTGGTTATCTCCATCCTCATAAAACAAAATTTTTTGACGATTAGCTGAAATTCTACTGTTTCATGCTAGCAACAGTTGGTAACCCCATCCTCTATGTAAACTGCAGCTTTGATGTTGTTATAAGGTGAATTGCTACAAAATTAGACATATGCTCACTGCAATCATTGATATAGGATTTTGTCAATGTATCCCAAACTTATATTGTTATTTTTCTCTCTCAGAAAATGCAACAAATGAAATCATTTAAAACCACAATCTCTTCACATAATGCAGCCTTTAATATTTAGCATAATAAGGTAGTTAATATACTTTTTTTTATCATGCATCAATAAAATCCAGTTTGTGACAAAGGCAAACATAGCTTATGCACCTTTGAAATTGACATTGACTTTTGTTGTCTCTTGTTTAAGACTTTTTAACTAAATCCAAAATACTGTCTAATGCAAACACAGCAATATAGTAACTGTAAACCATGAGCTTTTGGCATTTATATATATATATATATATCACATAAAAAGACTAATACGCACATTATACGCCTGAAGCAGACAGAATGACACAGTATCATTGGGTGGACAGTTGATATATATTGAGCAACCTTCCAAACCTGCAAATGTAAACTTTATTTTGCAAACATCTGGTTTTATTTGCATAGGGATCTGTTATGACATATTGTTGCTTCCTCTTTTCATAAATACAGGTCATATATAGTTATAAAGGTCCCAGTGGCAAGAGAGAATAATTTCAAGCTTATGTACAACAAAATGCATTTACAAACAGATGAACCGATCGACACAAAAGATAAATGAGGGTTCAAATTAAGCGGATAAATACAATAATAAAGACAACCCTGTTTGTTTGTCATTTATCTTGGTTTATTTGGTCAAGTACTTGGCCACAGATTTGTAGGCAATAAGGATCTCTGAGTCATTTGGGCAGGTGTAACGAAACTCGTCCTGTTTGTAGGCGTTATCCAGGTAACGTGTCAGGCCTTTCAGCTGGGTGGGCATGTCAAAATTACGGTACTCTTTGCAGACCACCTAATGAGAGAAAAAATGTTTCACTTTAAGTGGAAAAAAAAATCCCTTTGATACTATGGGAGATGTTTGTTATGAAGGTAAAGTCTTACTATCATGTGTTCTCTCTTACCTTTACGATGTTGAGTTTGGGAAGCAAGTTGCAGTCTGCCAAAGTGAAAGAATCACCATCCAGATAGAGGCGTGTAGACTCTGTGATATTTGGGTTCTTATCCAGTTCATGAGGGAGTGGAGATTCAAGGTACATGCTCAGCTTGACCAGAGTTGACAGAAACTGCTTCTCTAGCACTGGAAGAAAAGCATCAAACTATAGTTAAGATTTCTGCAATCCTTACCATCAGGGGTTAATGCTTTACAGGTAGTAAATGTTCTTACTGGTATTAAGCCCAGGATTGGGATTTTTAATGTATGCTGAAAATTTTCGGAAGATGTCTTGTCCAGTGGTGTTGGATTCCTTGTACCGGCAGCAGAGTTTAGGATATCTATACATTTTTGAAAAAAATTGTTGATTAGTGTTAGAATAAAATCTAAATACTTTAGAAATTGCTCTACTTACTCTGGTGGGGCCAGTTTCTCCTCCAAGAACTCTTCAATCTTGTTGGTGTCTGTTTTGACTTCTTCGTTGTATAGAAGAAAAGGAGGCTGAGATCCAGGGGCCAAATCTTTCAGAACATCTGGTGCCCTGCAACAGGACAAACACCACAAAGTAGTTAAAGATAAAACTTACTTGGAAAAAAAAAATTATGTTGTTTTTATTTCCAAATATATAAGCTGATAAATCAAAAATCAACTGTCAATAGTTATCATATGGACAAGTGAGCCCTCTGCTGGCAACCTAAAGGACACACACAACATTTTTAGCAACGATTGATGGACAGAACAAAGACTAGGGGCTATACATCTAGTTTAAACTTATAGCGGGATAGTGTGGGAAAGCAATAATTCAAAGGCCAGTGGGCCATTGTTGTTTATTGATGCTGTAACGACAAAAATAGCTTGATTTTGGTACTGATGCTGGGTTGGGCACATTTTTAAATGCACCAAATTAAATTATTTTTCACAAATTATGCTAAGAAAAACGTAAGACAAACCAATCCAGGAGTTCAGAATGAATGAGTGAACATTCCTGCTGGGGTTGAATCAATTAAATTTTAAATGTATTTTGGCTTAGGGATTGGCATTAATATGGTCAACATACTCCAGAGGCCTATTAGATCAGGAGTAATCAGAGTAGAAAAGCCCTTCTCATTCAGATGAAGCACACTTACTACTATAAGGGGAACATGAAAACAACATTTTACTGTTGCTGCAGATTAACGTGCTGCATATCCTTGAAGGTTTGAATAGACCTGTGCAACATAATGCTAGATGAATCCATCAGAAGATAAATGCGTCGTGTCATAAAGGCATGAACATCATGAGCAACAATAATTACATACAGTAGTGTAGGAGTTTTAGTGATTGTCAGCTGGAACTGAGCGCCTACAAGTTTACAGTCATTTATGGTTCAATTTGGTGACCCTGATGCCTCAGTTTCTGAGTCTTAGCTACCAGGAGAGGGATTTAAGGTGCATTTTATTCAGCCCTTTGGGATTTCTTTCCTTTTCAGGGGCAGCTCCCTAAGATATGATATTTTTCTACTACAAAAGAACTATTGCAGATAATAACCTCACTTAGAAAATAACAACTGGCTCTTTACGCATCCCCTATTTCTTCTGCATACATCTCTTAAATAGTGCATTTTATATAGCTTTTCAAAACTTTGCCATCATACTAACACTTTGAGCATATCCCTCATAGATTATTTTTCTTTTCGTTTTGTAGACCTAGTTTCCCTTATTTTGAAAGTGCACTGACACAAAAACACGGTGCAGAGAAGTGATGAAATTTAGCAAAGATCTGATAGATTAAACTGTATCATTATGCTTGCCAACATTACAAGATGATTCTCAGCAATAGTAATACTATAGTAAAAATGCATTGTATTACAGTAACTAAGTACAAAATGTATGTCTTTATAAGAGATCTCAAATGTTCCTATGACCCTTCAGATGTACCCCTGCATCAAAAGGCAATATTGCCTTGTCAGTATACAGTTAGGCTTTATTTGATTTGGACAAATTGATACGGACGCTTAAAAATCCAAGGAGAAGTGTATCAATAAAAACACAAATTTCCTCACATTTACTCTGTGTGACACATGTTAATGTAAACAGATTCATATGTGTTGGGTTTTATATTGAAGAGCTTCTTATATTTCACGTAATGGCGGCATATGGCTGGAGGCTCTCTGGATTCAGCACAATGGTCTTGGGTTCCTCTCCTACCCTGGATAGTGCTCTTACTGTTGACCCCTCAAGGTTGAACAGATAGCAGGGTAGAAGCTACTATTTGCCAAATTTGGAATGAGTATTAGTTTTTATACATTCTCCACCATCCCAATGATTCGGTCCAGGTGTATTTAAGCAGAGACACACCTAAAACCAGCAGGACAACACCCTTAAGGACTGGCAGACGGACCTAAATGCTTCCAAAATGGAAAAATTTTGATAAACAAATATCTGAAGTATGTTTTTTTGTTAACAGAAAGGCTTGTAAAATGTTTCTTTCTGTTCAACTTGTGTGCCCTTTGTAGCAGCAAGCTTCTCTAAATCTCATCTAGTATTTCTTCAGGATTATTTCATTATGTTTGAACAGAGAGTACAGGGTTGCATTTATTATTTTTTGCATTATTGTTACAGGATTTCCTTGAAAAAAAAAAAATAAAAAAATCCCTTTCTTTGTATTAAGAACATTTTATCACAGTTTGCCTCGGATGCTGACTGATACCCCACATGACCACAACTTAATAAATAATCATTTCCATTAACAGGAAATGGTATTTTGTTTTAAAACTCTTTTCTCTTAAAATCACCACAGAGACAGATTCTCTATACAACAGTCAGTCTATATCTCAGTTTTTATAGTGACATAAAGAAAATCTTTGGTTTATTGCATTTCAGGCAGTGACTGTGATGTCACCCATACAAAGATGGGGCTCTTGAGAAAATATATTTCTTACCTCCTCATGTCGACGGTGGTCAGGGTGAAATTAACCCCCTTCAGCCAAAGAATCATAAAGAGCCTTTGACAGAATGGGCAGTTTCCAACACTTTCAGCATCATCACTGGCCTGATGAAGACAAAGCACACCGTGAGGGGAAATCGTATAGATGTGAAAGCGTAAGCTAAAATGGAATGTTGGCTGATTTTCTTTGAAAAGCTGCCACCTGTTTGATCTATAATGTGACTAAACCGTCTGTAATTTGACTAAACAGAGATACCTGTACAGGTAACCTAATGAAGCCTGATCTGTTTTGAGGTTTTACAACAGCTCTAAAAACAAATTAAAAATGGAAGTAAAGGACTCTAGATAATCGATATTTAACAAATTTTTTTTGTTTTGTATCTTTCCTCTTATCTATGCTGTATCATATTGTGATATTATCTCAATCAACCAACTAACCGTCAGGAAACTGTCAGTTACAAATGGGGTAAAAAAAAAAAATCAAACTTTCTATGACCAACGTTCAACAGAGCTAGTTGTATTATTTCAACTTGTGTCGGTAAAAGACGCGTTCTCATGATCTTACCTTAACAAAGAGCTCAATCTTTGGAGCCTCAGCCATTTTCCTTTCTCTTTGCCTGGTATCCCTGTTGCTTTCTCACGATGTCTTGTTGCTGTTCATGCAAAGATAAGGAAAAACTGTGATTGTAAAGATGTGGTAATCCTTCAGTTGACACATACTTTAAAACGTATTCTTACGGTTCTGGAAAAACTGGTAACAAGGTGCGTTCCTACAGTAGATGGGTAATTAAAGGCTGTAAAGGGTACAAGTCATAGCTTTAAACTCACTCTACCTGAATTATTTTATCCCACTTCTTCTCCTCCCTGCAGCCTACACTGCACCTGTTCCTATTATTACTATATTTTTGTTCTTCTCTAACCACACCTCTTAAGCTTGAAGTGACAGTCTACGCCCCCACTGGCTTTACCAGTTGGACCAGCAGATCAGGATCTATTGACTCTGCCTTCCAGCACATTCTCTGGAGGAAATTGGGCCCTTTTAGCCTTGAAACATTTTCTTTTTCTTTTTAATTACAGATTCACTTTGGTAACTTACATGGAATCACAGTTAATCAGTCTGTTGCAACTATAAGTCTGCTAATAGGTAATGTGATTCTCTCAGTAAAACAGAGTATGACCGGTGATGTTTATTTTACTCAAGATGTAGTCAGTACCGTACTTGCACTCATTGATGCCAGTGCTGTTTCTCGACAGATCAGTGAACACAAATGCAACAATTGCCTTTGGAAGATTGTTCCAATCAAAAGGTGCTTTACATTTAAGTGACAATTTTCCAAATTCCGTATTGATTCTCAAAACAAAAACATTTGAGTTGCATGTCTAAGACTACATAAGGAACTAAATTAAATCAGGTATTCTTTTAATAATCAGGATAACTAAGATAAATATATTTAAATGAAAATAATAAGGGAGTTTGTTTTCTGGAGGATGAAGAGAGCCCAGACAGACAAAACAACATTAGGGGGTTGGAGATTAATAGATAAGGTATGTTTGATTAACTGTATCACAGTTGTCAAAACTAGGAAATAAAAATGGTGTTACAATCCTTTCTCTCAAAGAGAAAGTAAAACAATTAAGCTTGTTAAATGCGTTTAAATGCATTTATTTCTGTCATACACCAAATAAAATGTTTTAAGTGGGGGTAAAGGATAGTGTTCAAAATTGTAAATCAAGCTCAAATTACCCATTTTTTAAATTACCTTTATTCTTTTATTATTCTTTTAGTCGGCTTTGCCAGCCTTTCCTCCTCCTGCTGATGAGAAACACATAAATGACTTGATGTCTTCACCACCATTTTAAAGGGTAATGTGCTATGTATAATGTTTCACATGTAGGCCAAATCTTGGTCTAATCTGAGCAAAGTGGACTTGATTTGACTTTCTTTCAACAACAGCAATCTTGGAAAAGTAGGAAATTCGGGTTTGGTCACAGACAAAAAGGGTCTGGCAGGTTTTTCAAGGGTGCAGCCAGGATAATCCACTCTGCAGCTCAACTCCTGCATGCATTTTTTCTTATGTCTAGGCACCACTTTAAGAACAAAAATAAGTTGCATGAGATTTATTGCCAAGCAGGATTGCGACAAAACATAGCTTTTGGTTGTGACATGGTGTGAAATAAATGAGGAATGTACAAAAGGTATAAATACATTTAGAAGTCAAATGACTGCGAATGACTGCCAAAAAATACAGCTCAGTTGTTTGCACATGTTTTTGTGAACAAAAAATAACAGTTTTATTCAAACAATTTAAATGAATCTCAGTTTTTTCTTTCTCACTTTTTAATTTAGTATGGTTTAGTTAACTTCTTTGTTCAATGTGTTGATACTGTATTTAGTCCATTTAATTGATCATTTAAATTCTGTTCAAACTTTCAAGACTGCCTGAGCACATGTTTGGGGCTATCACTTGAAGCAGAGTTTTTTTTTTGGGAGATGGAAAAGAAGGAAAAAACAAAAAAAAGCCAGAGCAACTCAATAAGAAGCAAGAATGCAAGTTTAGGGTGAGTAGAACATCCTTAAAAGGTGTAAACATACTACTCAGACAACTGTCATCAGTGAAGAGGGTGTGTGTTTGTGTGGTTGTCACTGATCAGTGACTTTGAGCTCAGGAATTCACACGTTGAAGCAGCAAACTGGCTTATTTAGAATAAATATATCACACGTTTCAGGCCTTTTAGCAGGGGGGTAATCCCCAAATAAAGCACTGCTACAAAACTTCCTGCTTTCGGTTCTTGATGAAGAAAGCACAACACATCTCAAAGGGGAAAAAACAACCACAGTGTTAAAAAAAAAAAAAAAACTCAATGCCCTTAAAGGACCTAGTTTATCTCTAGTATGGACAACTGTGTGTTGAAGATTATTTTACTGAAAGAGGTTCCGATGACTTTAGGTAGAACAGGTGTATTAAGATACAGACATATTCTAACTAATTCTCTAAGTTAGAAATGTTTTCCTTTAGCTTGTAAGAAAAAACAAAACACAAGAGCCTTGTAATTGTCATATTATGCAGAGAGTACCCTGATAAAGTATTCATGCTCTTTGTTCTTTCTTACTTTTCTATCACATTAAAACTGTAACTATCATTTACCCTTTAATTCAATGGGATCAACCTGGATAAAGGAGTTCACAGTTGAGAGTTGCAAAGAAAATGAGGACGGTTTTTGAACTTAAGACTTAAAAAACTGAAAATCTGAATCACTGAAAGAATATGGATTCACCCACTTATAATTTAATGCCCCTAAATAAAATCCAGTGCAAGAAAGTATACTTAGAGGACACCTGCTTCATGACCATAGTCCACCTGTATGCATTTTAATCTTATTAACATGTTTGATTTCTATGCAGGCCTCAGTAGGAGAGCTGTGTTAAAAGAAAGACATTACAAGTCTAGCTTAAAACTACACGCAGCCATGTGGAGGACACCATAGATTAATTAACAATTAATACTTTGTATTAAGACTAATACAAAGATTATAGTAGGACATCAATTGTAAAAACACAGTTAAGATACAGTTAAGAAAATTGTTTAGATTAGAATCTATGGCAAGACATGAAATGTATCTCCACAGAAGATCTCTATTCTTTCTAATTTTGGTTAAGCTGTATTGCATAGAGAAATGGGCAAAAGCTGAAGCTGGTATCCATTATTGTAGATGGAGGTGGTTCTTATAAGTGATGATTTGTCAGTTTAATCTGAAAACTATCCATCCATCTTCTCCCACTTAATTCCGTCAGGGTCATGGTGGGGCTGGTGCCTTTCTCCAGCAGTCTATGGTCGAGACGCAGGGTACAACCCAGAAAGGTTGCCGGTCTGACGCAGGGCAACACAGAGACACACAAAGACATACAACCATACACACACACATACATGCATCATACTTGTTCTGCCATTGTAGTGAGGACCACATGTTGACTCCCATTGATTTTCAGTCATTTCCATTTTTTTATGCCCTAACCCTAAAACTAACCATAAACCTAACCATTACCAATGCATACCTCACCCTAACCCTAACCAATTGACACCTTAGCCCTAAACCTTACCATTAGCAAAATAGCATGTGAGGACCTTCAAAATGTCCTCACTTTGCAACAACTGGTCCTCAATTTGATTGTGAAATTGGAAAAATGGTCCTCACTCTGAGGTACACCCAGACCTATGAAAAATTTAGAGATGCCGCTAACCTTACAGTTTTTGTACCGTGGGAGGAAGCCTGAGTACCCAGAAAGAACCCACGTGTGCACAGGGATAACATGCAAACTCATGCAAAAAGACCCCGGGCCAGGGATCAAAGCCTGAACATTCTTGCTGCAAAGAAACAGTGCAACAAACTGCTCCACCGTGCAGCCCCATCTGAAAAGAATGTTCCCTTTTAAAGCTGCTTCACACAGTTCTGTTGTTTAGTTTTGGCAATAGCCTCTTTCATGACATACCATGGATACAACAGATGAGTTATGTGACAGCAGCAGATGGAGATTTCCATTTTCTAAGTATGATCTTAAATAAAACAGAAAGGGTTTAAGACATAGAATTGTTTTAAGGGGCAATGAGAAAGCAATTCAAATAATTTATTTACTTCAATATCACAGAAAAATGTCATCATGGACAAATAAAAGAGTCAAGCTTAGAGAGCAGACGAGGACAAAAATATGGAACAATTCTTTAGCACTACACGTGGCTACTTCAGTTGCAAAACTACAGAAAAGGGTTGTGCTTCCTGCGTCAACAGATGGTGTAATCCTGCATATGTAACTGAGAAGGAATTTCCTTGCACCTCACGCGGTGGACTGTTTCACTGTTGGCCATGCTGTTTACCTGTGAGAAGTCACATTTAAGATGCTAACATTTGACATCATGATCACATGCTTCAGACACAACACCCCAATGCTTTCGTTGTGACATGCTGCAGATAAATATTGTTTACCTGTTTTTCTGAGGACTCTTCGTAGCAAAAAAATATTTTTCTATCCAATTCATTTTGATGAACTAGATAGTTTCTGACCATCATCTAAGTTAGCAACCAAGGGGCCACATCAATGTGAAGAAATATTCCATACCAGTTATTCAGCTAAAAGTTATATGGATTTATGCAAAAGAATGATTCGTGTTTTTCATATGCATATGATTTTACTGCACAATAAAGCAGTTTTGAAAACAGACACCCGCACTTGAACTGACTATACTTTTATGCAGTTGAAGAATATTCATTAGTCACTTTTGACCGGTGAATTTTTCTAACTGGGCTGCTTAGTGACACAGTTGGTAGCACTGCTGCCATGCATTAATAGGTTTCCACATTCAATTCCAGGCTCAGAGTCTTTCTGCATGGAGTTTGCATGTTCTCCCTGTTTGTGTTTTATAATTTCATTCAATACAACAAAACCTAAAACATTAATATTGTGATGGAATTTAAACTTAAAGCACCGAACATCGTACAGCAGAGTAGTCACATGTTACATTTGCACTACTGTAGGCTAAAAATGTAATTATGAATGCTTATATATGTAAGCCAACGTAGTCCTGGCATTTATAGTGGGCTGATACACTTAGAGCCCATGTTGCCATACAAGGCTTATATAAGACTTTTACATCTTTGCGGCTCAGGACAGATATGTTTTTTTTTGCCCATTATGGCTCTTTAAATAGTTTGGTTTGCCGACAACTGCCATAAGAAAATTGAATAGCTGTAGGTAGTAAGGACCTTTTGTAGTGGTTGGTCTTATGCGGACTTGGAGAAGTCTTTCACTGAAGACACCCCCAGTAATACTGTTATCTGATAAAGAGGATGTTCACCATTTTCCAAAATGTTAATTTTATGAAGAAGCTTTCT